GACGCTCGAACCACAACAGGACTCAGTGCCCCGCACGCTCAGCGGGTTGCAACGATTGTAGCACCAAAGAAGATTTTGCTGCGGTTTACCGCAACAAGTTCGAGAACCCGAAGGTAGGCGGTTCCTCGCTAGAGAAAGACCAGCCTAGCTATGTTGTGGGATCGTTTGGCGCTTCAAAAGCTAGGTTTATGCAACTTTCCATAAGCGGGGTGCCGGCGTCGGCCAAGGTATACACTCTGGAGGAGGGGTATCGGTGGTTCGCCCCAGCTTTCCGGGCGTGCCGTCTAAGTTAACGGCGTCTCCCACGGTGTTAACTGGAGTGGGAAATCAGCGCCTTAGGTCGAAAGGCACGTTTGAAGCTGACCTTTTTGGAGGCGCAAAACTACACGACAGACTTTGTACGTCATTGAATCGGCACAAGCTGTCATGCTGGGCCTTCCAGCCATTGAGGCACTCGGTGTTGTATATTTCGTTGATGCTCTTGAAGATAAAGAGTATGAGCGAAGCTACCCACCGCTTTTCTCTGGTCTTGGCGCGATGTCGGGCGGGTACATCATTCGCTTGGAGGCGGACGCGATACATTTCGCTATTTTCACTCCCAGGCGAATTCCCATACCCTTACGGCATGCTGTAAAAGCGGAACTGGCTAATATTGAAGCCAATGGAGCCAACCGACCGGTGTGCAGGCATAGTGCGTGTACTGAAACCTGCCGGCGAAGTTCGCCTCTGCGTAGGTCTGACTCAGTTGAACAAAAATGTACGGCATGAACGCTTTGTCTTGCCAGCAGTAGACGACACTTTGGGCCAATTGGCTGGTGCTTGCTATTTTTTGAAGTTGGACGCTAACTCGGGCTTTCACGCGGTCATGTTGGCAGGGCAGAGTCAGCCGCTAACGGCATTCATCCCCCCGTCTGGCGTCTACTGCTTCCGGCGGTCACCATTCAGAATCAACTCAGTTCCAGAATATTTTCAAAAGCGGATGGGTGCAGTTTTGGACGGTTTGCAGGGAGTAGCAAACATGATAGGTGACATTTTTATTTTCGGAGCCACAAAGACTGGGCATGATCTGAGGTTGCGCGCTGTTTTGGAACGGTTGAAAACAGCCGGCGTCACGCTTAACCAGGAAATTTGTTCGTTCGCTGTTTGTGAAGTGGAATTTTTAGGCTACATTGTGAATACCACGGGACTCAGGCCAGACCCGAAAAAGGTAAAGGCCATTAAGGAAATGGCTACACCTTCATCAGTTGCAGATGTGCGCAGATCTTCGGGCATGATTAACTACTTGGCAAGGTTCGTTCCGAATCTCGCCGAGCTATCTGCATGCTGCATGAGATACTTGTGAAGGATAAATATCGGTACTGCAGGCTTCGCACAGGAAAAATCCTTCGATCCCTTAAAGGAACTGATTTCTTTTGCGAAATGTGTCGCGAAATAATCCGGAGCTTAATTTTTACTGCGTTATTAGCCGAGCGTCATCATTCGGAATCGGTGCGGTTTTGGCGCCGGTGCAGCCAGACAGGCAAAGACGACCTGTGTCCTATCTTTATCGTTCTTTAACGCAATCCGGGCAGCGCTTTATAGAAATAGAAAAAAAAAGCACTGGCGTTGACGTGGGCAGCCCAACGATTGGAGTGTTATCTGATAGGGCTTGAAGTTCAATATGAAACTGATCTTAAGCCATTAGTGACGCGCCCCTGGAAATCTCCGGTAGATGTGCTGCCACCAAGAGTTCAACGACTTCGATTGAAGCATATGCGATTTTCTTTCTTGATTGTTTACGCACCCGGAAAGCAGATTGTTACTGCCAATACCCTATTTCGGGCGCCCTGGAAAGAAACTGACTTTATTCTTGGGGAATTGCCACTTGGGGAGGTGTCGAGTATTGTAACCGGCTGCGTCAGTGAAGTCAAACTGTCGGCGCACCTTGACAAAGTACGGTTGGCACAAGAACAAGACGGCTCTTGCGAACAGCTTTTCTTGTACTGTCGTTAAGGCTGGCCACGCTTCACAGAAGTGAACAGTTGGCTAAGGCCCTATTGGTCAGAAAGATCCAACCCTACTATTTTTGATGGTATGCTAATGTGTGGGTCTCGCCTTGTACTTCCTCAAAAACGCGGAAGAGACATTTTGACTTCACTGCATAAAGGCTTTCAAAGGTATTGTTAGATGTCGCGCTAGGGCTCGAGAATCGGTCTGGTGGCCTGGACTGAGTTCGGAGTTGGCAAATCTGGTGAACGATTGCCTGCAATTAGCAAAGCTCCGGGTTCAGAGTGCAGAACCGATGCTGCCGTCGGAAAAGCCTGTTCTGCCGTGGCAGAAGCTGGGGGCAGTTTTTTTTCCACTTTAATGGAAAAGAGTACCTTGTGGTTGTTGACTATTTTTCCCGTTTTCCAGAGCTAGCATTGCTGTCGTCAACAACGTCTGCTGCAGTTATTGTGCAGTTCAAGAGATTTTTCGCTAGACATGGTATTCCCGAAGTTTTAGTTACGGATAACGGTAGTCAATTTGTATCCGTGGAGTTCGACGCTTTCTCAAAAGCTCTAAGTTCCGGCACGTGACGTCGAGCCCTACGTACCCACAATATAACGGAGAAGCTGAACGAATAGTTCAGACAGTGAAATGGATGCTCGATAAATCAGCTGATCCGTACTTTGTGCTTCTGGCGTACAGGAGTACCCAAGGTCCTCTGGGAAAAAGCCCATCGGAATTGCTCAGGAGCAGACGCCTGCGCTGTGCGCTGCCTGTGTACCCCAAAGAGTTGAAACCGTCAAGGCTAAGTTGCCTTAAGAGTTTCAGAGAGAAGGATAAAGCTTTCCGAGACAAACAAAGGCGTAACTATGTCCGTCGCCATACGGCGAACCCGCTTCCACGGTTTCTATTTGGAGACCGGGTCTGGGTGAAGGACTCTTGAGTCCCGGCTATAGTACTGAGACCGGCCTCTCGTCCACGGTCTTGTCTGCTGCAAACAGAAACAGGAGCGGAACTGCAGAGGAACCGCCGAGCCCTGACACCGTATAAAGAACAGGCACAAGAGAGAAGCGATTCCTCTTGTGAATTTCTGGAGGGTCCTGGTGAGAGGGAAGACGAAGAGCCAGAAAACCAGGGGATCTTGACAGAGCCTTCCGCGCTCACTTCTGATGCAGCAATTCACGAGGAGGGTGGTACAGAGGGTACGTACGTCACGCGTTATGGACGACTCGTGAAGAGGCTTCAATTTTATGGTTGTATCCACACTTGCAGAAGTTTGTTTTGCTTTTTGTTTCACGGTTCTGGTTTTTACTCGTGGATGCTTTATAATTGAGATGTTGCATTAATGAAAGGAAAAAAAAAAGGGTAGAAGTGGTGTCATCCTGACCATGCTATCACACTGCTCTGTCATCACTGATTTTCCATACTAACCGACCTGTGCTCATGCCCGCGTTCGCTCGCCTTTTATCGGATGTACGGCACGTGGCAATATATACAGCACATGGAATAAACCAAGGGTTTGTTCTGCTGGAAACTACATCGTAGTCTGTTCCTTCGTCGCCCCGCAAGGCACACGACAGACTACAACTAGCATCGTTTTAGACAATAAAAAAATACATTTAGGGTGTCAGTGCCCCTTTAATCGTCCCCCAAGTGTTTGGGTCTAAACCACTTTTCAGCCCGTCATTCACCGAGCTCTCTCTCTCTCTAGACTGCAGTAATTGCCTTTCCCATGCGAGATATGTTGTCTGCACTTTAGTTAGTTTTAGCGTACGTTTAGGCGCAACCGACGTTTCGAGATAATGTGCCAATCAAAGCTGCGACAAAACCACATGGTTAGGATTTATCCAGCAATGATAGAACACGCCCAGAAACAATGATTGCCATGATTTTGAGCTGTTGACGCTGTCTGATATGTCCCATCAGCTTCCACCGCCGGCTGCGTCTGACCTAAGCTAAAACGAAGTATAATACAGCAAAGAAGACGCTTACGTATTCACTTAGCACAAATCGTGTTACTCTAGTAAAACGAATCAACGTTTTTGTCGAGTTGTCTTTCCCTGAAGTATTTACTGTGGTCATAGTGATGAAGCAGCATCTTACCTTGTAGGGAATTCAGATGCGGTGGCGTTCGGCAATAGCAATTTACCATATTGAGGTAATAGATGTGTCAATATAAATTTAACAAAACACGGCGCTGTCTGCAAATATGTCTGATTTTGTAATAGACTGAAAGTCAGGACAAGTCTGTTAGTAATATGGCTCACATATTGAGGAATGTAAGAATAAAGACCTGTATAGACGCAGTTGCCATTTGTTACTGTTTTATCTCAAATCTAAACGAATATTGGAATGACATTTCGCAGCGAACAAAGCGGATACATTTTGGCGGTAGTCCACGCGAAAGCCAAAGTGGTATGCGCACCCCCACTCGCCAAGTCACCATGAAGGCGGCATAATATTTAAACTTTTGCTCAATATTACAGGAATGTGAGCTTTAAATCATAACTTAGGATTTCTAGAGACAAAGCCATTCTAACTTGGGTAATCCCAATAATAGTTATCTTCTCAACATACTATTTACATTTTGACGTTGACATTGAAAATAAATAAATATCCATGCTAAATCAAGTTAAGTCTCCAAACGAGCATAATAACGGTCGCTTGATGTAGTCCCTATCAATGTTTCAACTCCTCAGTTATTCAAACTTTGAGCGGTTGAGAAGACGTTCATTTTAATGCAAATTCTCCCTCCCGAAAGCCTATATAATCCCTTCTTGCGCAGTATTGTACACAGTTTCACAGCATGTTGTTTATTTAGAAATATATGTTTCTGTGCCCAAAGACCTTTCTGAGTCAAAGGCTGATGTACGTTGTCTTCTATAGTCGTAAAAAATAACATACGCTGTTTTCAAAGAACCTTTATTTGATCAATGAGTAAGTTCCACTGTGCGCATTCCTATTACACACAAGATTGCACTAACATGATTGTTTGAGAGGCCGATGTGTGTAGCTTTTCCGTTCTTGCCGCGTTATCGTCCATAGCCGCCTCTGAAAACTGGCTTGCCTCCGCCGATTCCTGGCTTGCCGCCACCAATGCCACCTCCTCCGTATCCTGGTCCGCCACCAATACCACCTCCTCCGTATCCTGGTCCGCCACCAATACCGCCTCCTCCTATTCCTTTTCCACCGCCGTAGCCACCGCCACCGTATCCTGGTCTGCCGCCAAGGCCACCTCCTCCTATTCCTTTTCCACCGCCGTAGCCTCCACTACCGTATCCTGGTCTGCCGCCAAGACCACCTCCTCCTATTCCTTTTCCACCACCGTAGCCTCCGCCACCGTATTGAGCAGCCGCCAAGCAGCACAGAGCTGCCAGTACAACCACGGCGAATAGGGTGACTTTACTTGGCACCATGTTGGCTCTTTCTGTAAAACAAAAACAGGCTTTGTACTCTGAGGGCAGCAAAAACCGAAGTAAGACACAATCTCGCACCTCGAATCAGCCACACTTACGTAGCCACTCACCCGAATCCTTTACAGGCTGGAACTGGGTCTCAAGAAATACACTTCCCACACTTGCTCCTTACGTGCCTGTGCCCTCTTTAGTCAAACCGCGGAAACCTTAAGCGAACAGACCACCCGCTAAGTCCTGTAGTATCTGATGTGGTCTAAGCAAACAGCGCCTAGAGTAATCAAAACCTGGGTGAAGCCTCGTCTAGCCGCATGTAATGTTATTAGACTTCGGAGCTCCCCGTTCGGAAATTGGAACGACCCCGACTCCGCAGTGAAAACGAGGCTCAGGCAATGCTGACACGACAGTTGTTCCCGATATGTGTCCGCCCTTGAACTCATTGTCTTCGCGTCAAAATACTAGTGCACTGGCTTAGATTATTCTTGATGGTGTTGGCTAGGCCTGGCCAAACCTACACAAATTTACCCCCGAGATTATCTCGATTGTGTAAGAGCCGTCGAACATATCCATGACAAACACTTGCAACAAGTGTATTATAAATGGCGTTATTACTGCAAAAGCAGTCAAATCCGGCCAATATTTCTAGTGCCTAGATGAAATAAAATGTTCATACATATTAACTCCCATTTACTGGAAGCGCCAGTGAATTTAATCTAAGCTATCACAAATTTAACCTCAATGCCATTAATTTTAATTAAAGAGTCACAAAATTGAGTTCACATTGTGAATTAACAATAACTGCTGCGTATATGTTAGAAATATTGTAGAGGTCTGAGGTGCTTCCAAGTCAGGAATTAGTTTTTAATGTATATGCGCATTTTACGATTGCTTTGTCGTATTCGAATTCAACGCCTTCGTGGTATGCCAGCTCCGTGAAGCGGATTAATCAATGGGCGTCGTCTGCTACATTATATCATCTGCAAAACTTTGCCTTACGCTTCCGCCGTGCTACGATTGCATACGATAATACGTCAGTTCCCGTTTTGTTGAAAACGGCAGTTGTTCTGTAACTTTCTTTGGCAGAAAATATAAACGAGTGGAACGGTGCGATAATTTTCGTGCAATAGCCACCTGCCACCTTAAAGTGCGTTGATGGCAGATGCTTCAAACGGCGAGGAACAATGCAATACAGAAACTTTATTCTGACTAAATCATTGTCAATGGGGGCCTCAAGTAATTTAATTGCTAATAATGTCATCATTACCAACGAAATTTAAAGCTTAAAACATATTTTATAGATTTCACCATCCTTCGAAAAGCAACAAGATATCCTCATATTTCTGCCGTGAGGATTCCTTAGTATTGTATAAAAAATCCCTTAATATCCCTTAAAACCCGGATATAGATTAAAAATTCATTCATTACTTGCAAGATCCTCATACCTCTAAAACTATTTTGTCAGATGAGTAGCATTTATTGTGGACTCACAGTTATGAACGGATGAAATTTCATGACCTATATTAAAATACAAAATGTTCCTTCTTCCCCTTTTTTTAAAATTTACAGATTTCTTTAAAGGAGGCCGTGAAAGTTACACTTATGCCGTTTGTGCATTTGAGTTATACGACCAGGTGGGCATTATCCGCATGGCTCATCTTTGCGATAAGTCGGCTAATTATTAAAGTTTCTTAATTAACTCTCAATTAGGGAAAATCGACATTAGAATCCAATTAGAAACATAGGGATTTTCGTCGAAGACCACTAAATCAACTAATTTTAAAACGACTTGAAACTCGTGGGAAACTCGGGGCGCACCAAATTTACCACGCATGCAGCAGGAGCAAAGCTAGCAGTAGCGGAACGCGGGTGATTAGATTATCATCGCGTCACGCGACTGCTAGCTTTGCCCCTCCTTCACGAGTGGTAACCTTGGTGCGCGCCCGAGTTTCCGCGGATCTTCAAGTCGTTCTAGAAGGTTTAGTGGTTTTTTATGACGCTCTCTAAGTTCCTAACTGTAAAGATATAGTCTATTTTCAGTAATTAAAAGGGTAATTAACAAATTTTAATAATTAGCCGACTTATCGCAAAGAATAGCCACCCACATAATGTCCTTCTGGGCCGTGAAACTCACCAACAGAAACCGTGTAAGTGTAACATTCACGCCTTTTTTTAAACAAGTCTGTAAAGCTTAAAAAAAACACCCTCTGTATCGCGTTGGGATTCAATTGTTGATAATTGGAATTACATTTATTGGTGCTTGGATGAAATTGATGACCACTGGTATTAAATCAAAGTACAGCTGGATTAAATTTAAAAAAAAAACGTTCGTGTTAAAAATTTCTTAGTTGGATTATTTTGAGGAGAGAAACCTGTTGTAGTAATGTTAGTACGAATCGGACATAGTTATGTTTGTCCTGATATAATTGTTCTGAGCACGTTAGCCTGTAGCCTGTCTTTAAGGGGTCGATGGCGATGTAGCTTTTGATTTGTCTCAAGATGACTACGATGAAGAAGACCCGCGATGTGCCGACATTTTGGATGATGCTCTGACTGTACGTCAGACAACTATTTGAGATATTAATCATACGCCAATTGGCGTGGTTATCTTTACGATTGTTAAATAGAGTCGCAAATATAAAAAAATATATTAATAAATTTACCGCTTGAATGGTGACCAACTCTGCCCATACCGATATTACATCCCGTATTTCGCTACCACGTACAAATTCTCGCAAAGAATTGCGAACGCAGACCTTTTTGCTTGCGCTGCTGTTTCAGGTGGTTTAACTATCTTATTTCTTAGATATTCCACTAATTATACTGATGGTATTGAATATTTTCAGATGTGGTTGGAGATATACATGTTCTGGGAACTAGCACAACAGCATTGGGTGAACCAATCTTGCTTTTGCCTGAATGCAGATTCAGTGCTCTTCAGCTTGACACTCAAAATAATTTTCAAAATATCAGAATGCCCATCATGAAGGTTATCTTTGTCAGAGAGAGCCCACACAACACTAATTGTTCGCTTTAAAAAAAATTAATTGTGTTTAAAATTATTCCGCCATGTGCTTTTCCAAAAACCACTGCGTATAAAATGTTATCTTCATAAGATATTGACTAAACCTAATTAATCGACTCAAAGCAATGTCCATGAGTGCTTTATTTAATATCTAGTATAAAGTAGTACTAACGCCTAATGCATGACATCGGATTGCTGCAATAGATTTTTTGTTGTTTTCTTACAAACTAGTCCTGCGACAATCGCTTTATTTGCTCGAAAGAGCAGTAAACTTTCAATAAAATGCTTGCGTGTCTATATTGCTAGAAAACCGCGCAAATTTTGAAACGGTACGACTAAAAAAGAAGACCAGCAAATGATAAGGAGTATTCAGATTTTCCCTTCTAAACAAACACGGATCATGAGGGCGGGTTCCAGTGATTCCCAGGGTCTAACCCACCCAGGGTTTGAAACTTGCACTGTGCAAAATGAAGTCATCGGAACCACAGGCAGCTTGTACATGCCATTTTGTCTTAAAATAACTTTCACTGAAAATCCGAGTTTGATGATCCCGTTGACAAAATTCGCAATCTTGGATCAAATCTTGGTTTGTGCTTTGACACTTTTTAGACTCCTCGCATTTATTGTAAGCGTTGATATTCTGCATGCTGAGTATATTAAAACATCTGAGCTTGCAAAAGAGTGATATTGACGTAGTATTTGCTCGCTGCGGTAGGCTTCCCTGCACTTTGCTTAAATAAGACAAAGATCGTTGTCGCGCGTTTCTTTTGATGTCACCTGCGCGGAGTGGCAGTAATCGAGAAATGTAGAAAGTAGAAACGATGTTTTTTTTTTGTTTTTTTTACAAAAATTTTGTATAAGAGGCGTGATAACTTCACTACGCGGTCTGTACGTTTGAGGTGTGCGGCCGAGCGGACATCATATATGGTGCTAATCTTCACGATAAGTCTCATAGTTAACTAAAACTTGTTATTCATGGTTTTAATTAATAAAAATGAGCATGTGGTTCTAAGTATAAACCTGCTTGAAATCAAAAACCACAACATCAACAAATAAGAGAAATAATTTGAGTGCGCGGGAAGTGAGGTTAGTTCAGAAACGTTACCACTTGTGCTACAGGTGTAAAGCTAGAGGTGCGAGAGCGCGGATGATAACATACAGAGACACCGACTCGTCCTTTTTCTGCATTACGTTGCATTGTGCCTGCTGCATGATTCAGAGTGAAAACTTTACGTATCACAGCACTTCCCAGTCGCTTCAAGTCTTTCTGAAAGCTACACATTTAGGGTTTACAACGGCGCTCAGCATGTTGTGAATTGAAATGCTCTCTGTCTACCCGCACCAACTAAAAACCGAAAATTGTTTGGTTAATGAACCGATGTATCGTGACACTGTGGCCCGTAGATTATGTGATCCTGGCTATACAACCCACCTGCACAAACCAAGTAGTATAGCATTCACAACTTTTTTAAATCAAACTATAGAAACTAAAAGAAGTCTGGATGCGTTTTATTTCAATGCCAACAACACGATAGGTGCTGGCATGAATCCTAAGATTACTTTTCATTCTTGTTGCAAATTTATAAATATCGTTGTCGGCTGGAGACGTGCAATATTATTTTTTTAACAAATCCAGTCAAAGAAAATTAACTAACAAGACCTAGTATTTTGTGATTTTTTTCTCCACATTAACAAAACCACAATATATTTACATTATTCATCAAGTTCATGTTAGGAATAATTTTGTAGAATGAAAAACATAAAATCTGGAAAGATTCGGGATGTTAATATCTCGTTTCTCTTTGCCATACTAAGGCACCTTTGTAAATCTTAAACATATTTTTCCAATGATACGTGCCCTAAAGGTACCTTTCTTGTTTTGATTGTTACCTACAGAAGTTAGAATGCAGTACTACATGCGAATGAAAATACATATTTATTCTTGTAAATGATTTGGTGTCATAGGGTAGCCGTTTGTCTC